CTCTGATGTCCCCCCAACACACACCCCAAGAAGGATGGGAGACCTTCCCAGAATCCTCAGCTGCCCCCGGGGACCAGCTCTGTACCTCATGTTCCCTTAGGCCTAAGGAGGCAAACCATACGCAGAGGTCAGGGTGGGGGGCACTGTTTACCCTTCCAGGGTTACTCTGCACCCCTAGACTAGAAAGGTCCTGAGATGAATAGGCTCTCGGTGTGGCCACACCTGGCCTGTCCTGTATCTCCAGAGCCACAGAAGCTGCCAGCCATCTCTGGGTTGTGTGTGGAAAGGGGGGGGTGTTGCTAGATGCCAGTGGCTCATGCCTGTAATCCTAGCTGCTCTGGAGGCTGAGATTCGAGGATCCTGATTCGAAGCCAGCCGGTGCAAGAAAGTCTATAAGACTCTTAGCTTGTTAACTACAAAGCTATGGCTTAATGTTAAGAGTACTAGCTAGTGCCCAGGTCCTGGGTTCAAGCCCCAGGACACACACACAGGCGCACACACACACACACACACACACACACACACACACACACACACACACACACACGGTGTTGTTGATAGAAGAGGGGAATACATTCTGCTCAGCTTTAGCCATCTGCTCCCTAAGGATAGAAATCAGAAATGGCACGCAGAGAGGCTCAAGAATTGGCGGGTGGCGGGGGACGCTTGCCTAGAAGGTGACAGAAACAGACTGGCAGGGGCTGAGCTGGCATCGTCATGTAGGGCTGGCAGCCATGCCAGCATCGCCCCTCCCTGCACTGGGTGGGCAGCAAAAGGGCACCCCCTCCCAACACGCTGTGCACCCAGCGTGGCGTGGGCAGGGCGCTGTGGGGCCGGGAGTCACGAGCCAATACTTGCGTCTGCCAGCCTGGCATTGCCAAAAGGGAGAGGAGTGTTGGTTCTCTCTGCCAGGCCTGGAGGATGGCACTGTCCCCAAAAGCAGCGTACAGATGGATGGGAAAAACCCTACTGCACCCCCAAAGAGTAGATCCTGGGATTCCTTTTGTTTTGTTTTGTTTTTTTCTGGACCTGGTGCTCGAACTCTGGGCCTGGATGCTGTCCCTGAGCTGCTTTTGCTCAAGGCTAGCGCTCTCTACCACTTGAGCCACAATGCTACTTCCAGTTTTTTATTGAGTAGTTTATTGGAAATAAGAGTCTCACAGACTTTCCTGTCTGGGCTGACTTTGAACCGCAGTAATCCTCAGATCTCAGCCTCTTGAGTAACTGGGATTACAGGCGTGAGCACGTACATCTGTTCCTGGGACCCCCCCCCCCATGCTAAGCATATCCAGGCCCCAGGAAGACTTGGCCATTATCCAGGTGCTTGGGTTCCAAGAGGTAGGTTCTTTGGGTGTATTTTGGCCAGAATGAAAGGAAAAAGGTTGACAGGTTGGGCTCTACCCTACTCCACACTGTCAAGGTAACTCATCCCTGATACCCCTATCTTTTAGACGCGGGACTGAGATCCAAGGTCATGATAGCTCATACGTAGCAGAGCCAAGATTTGAACCAGGTATCTGTCTCACACATGACTCTCATGTCAATGCTCACTTGCTTGTCGCACATTCTGTAAGTCCTTCCTCAATCACTGTCCCCCTTTGTCCATTGACTCATTGCTCCTGTGTTCTCAGGAGCCATCTCTGCTGGGAAGAGCCCTCCTGACTCCCGCAGGCCTCCGCTTTGCACATGGCTCCTTTGGTCCTCTCCACCCCCAGAGGGAAGTTGTTTGGTCACATTTGCTCTCCTGCATCCTCTCCCACTTTGACCTTCTCCATGGCAGGTCCGGATCTTACCTGGCTCTGTGACACTGAACTCCCTCGAATGCCTGGCACCTGGTGGTAACTCAGTATGAAACCAGGTTTTTAGATTCCAGGCTTAAAGTCCAGGAGTCCCAAGTTAGGTCTGACCATTCATTCCCACATACCAAATATAAACAGACATGGTGCAGGGCAGAGAACGGAGATTGATGAGCCTGGTAGCCATGTTTGGGAAGACAGCACTTCAGTACATCTTCAGCCATCTTTAGGGGTTCAGGCATTGGCTTTAGATTAAACAGGGTGAATTGGGGGCAGGGATGAGGAAGGTACACATAGTTAAAACAGTCTCAAATCACAGGTGAGGCCTGGTGGACTGTTTGCTTAGTCTTGGTCTCTGGAGGAATTCCAGGGAAGTGATCAATTTATTACTGGAACAGACCAAGAACCAAGATGGTCTCCTGAGTTTTTGCTGTTTGCTTTAAGATGATAAGAGGAAGGCATTGCTGGCTTGAGGAGCAGTTTGTTTTCCACAGGAGATGGTTCTCTCACTGAATCTGTAGTCTTGGTGATCACAATGCTGACTGTATCAGAGAATTGTTCAAATGAAGACACAGATAAAGCTCAGTGCTTAAGCACTGAGTTCCAGCCCCAGGACCAATACTCCCTCCCCACCCCCAGAAAAAAGGCACAGATACAAAGTTGGGGGAGTTTTAGTTAATTCACAGGACCCAGCAGAAGCATCTTTTCAGTGGCCTTTTATAAGCACAGGGTTATCTGGGACCAGGCAATTTTGCTGTCCTGTCCAATCATGCCTTTTGATTCTCCTTGATGGGGTCCTCATGGTAGGCTGGTACTGCGGGGGAAAGACTGGGTACAACTCAGAGTCAGGATGCTTGATCTTCTAAAGCTTTGCAACTTGATGCCTCAAGGTTGTAATGTGAGCTACAGTCAAATGGATCTTTCAGAAGAAGCAGAGATCGCAGTCATCTGGAGGGTTGAGAAAGATGCCAGGAAGGTAGGGGAGGAAGGATGCAGTTGGAGGATGCTGTAGCCAGAGATTGCAAGGAGCGAGAGGGGCTGGTCCTTGCAGGTAGACCATAGAAACAAAGGTGCTGAGTCGGGCTCACATCAGTGTGGAGGGAGCAGGAGGTGCCAAAGGCCTGGCAGCCAAGTTGGAAAGGCAGGCCAGGCCCGACCAGATGGTATGGCTCTCTTAAACTGGGAGCTTGGACATGACTCCATGGGCCACCAGGCAGCCCCGATAGGTGCTTTTTACATTCGTCATTGTTCCCTGATGGGTCAAGCCCCTCTTTCTTCTCCCAAGTAACCTGTGATCAGATCTTGACCCAGGTATGGGCAAAGGAGACTGCTAACACCTCTGATCTATGCGCATTCTCCCCCCACCCCCCACTGCAGCCCTGGCCTGTCCTTTGGGGCCTGCTAGGCTGTGTTCCCTCCCTCCAGTTCCCGATTGGAGGTAACTAAAGGACATATGGCAGGCTCTCCTGGCCTTTGTCAGGTAGCAGATTGGATGAGGGGAGCCCATTGTGATTAAGAGTTGGTGAATGGTTCTGGGCAGGGGGTGACCTACAGAAGCCAAGTGGGCATATCCTGGCCTGACATCCTTTTCCCTCCCTCGCGGGACCAAGGAAGGCAGACGTGACTGGCAGTAAGATGGCTAGGGGAGACAGCCATAGCACTGGGGAATCTGTCACCCTCTAATAAGAGATGCCCATTCTGGCAGGCTGGGTAATAGGCCTCAAATGGAATAATTAATAAAGTTATAAAAATATGTCTACTGTATGGCCAGAATGATTCAGTCCAATTAGAAGCAATTATTTCTTGCCGTTCTGCCACTTAGAACTTTTTGTATGAATAATTCTAGTACCCAAGCTAAGATGGTCGGGGTTGGCTCTCTGCTTGCAAAGTTGTACTGAGACCAACTCTTCCCCTAGGGCCTTATCTAATTGGGAAACAGCCATCTACCCATCTATTATCCCAAATATCATTTCAGCCAGCTATCTGCCTGTCTGATCATGTATCATTTTATCCACCCATGTGCCCATCATTCTGTCTGTCCATCCTTTGATCCATCATCCATCTACTTATCCATCCATCTTTTCACTAATTGCACCATTCATATACCCTCTCATCTATCCATCCATCTAATTATCCATTCATCTACCCACTCATCCATCCATTCATCTATCCATCCACTCATCCATCCATCTACCCATCTATCCATCTGTTTACACACCCACCCACCCACTCACCTATCCATCCATCCACCCCTTCATTCATCTATCCATCTAGACGTTTTTTGAGTCCTTGCAGAAGTATGCTAGGTTCTGGACATCGGGAGATAAATGAGACCTGTCCCTTCCCTTTTCCAAGGAGACTGCAGCCCATGCAAGTGACCTTTGAGTCACAGGAGCTTGTTTCTGGTCCCTTTTGACAGATCCTGCTAAAAGTGGCTTTTTTCCCCTTCATCTGTTCCCTTTCATTCCTCAAATACGTAAGCAAATATTCAAGTTAAACGTGACCTTAAGCTAAGGAATAAGCCACCTGTTCTTGAGATGTCAGAGAGCTTCAAAACACCTACTGGGGTTGGGTGCTGGTGGCTCATGCCTGTAATCTTAGCTACTCAGGAGGCTGAAATCTGAGGATTGTGGTTCAAAGCCAGCAAGATATTTCCTTTTTCTTTTAATAAGTTTTTTTTATTGTGAAAATACTGTACAGAGGGGTCACAGTTACATGAGCAAGGTAATGAGTACATTTCTTTTTTTTATTTACGTTTCTTTTTTATATATACATAAAGCTTTTGTTTTAATAAATAAAGAATTTGGGTGGCGTAGGTTTTAAGTCACACTTACAGACGAGGAAAAGTAAAGCTACTACGACCGCTGGGAGATGTGCATTCTGCATGCATGTTACACCGCAGCAGGGGTTGACGTGGGACATTCTGGACATGCCTACATGAGACACAGGAGCAGCAGGACAGTGGAAGATTCAAGGGACGTCCACAGGGCACCATTTGATTCCACCTCCCTGCTGCTGAAGCCACAGGGGAGGAGCCAGGAATGGAGGCCCCGCCCAGTGAGCCTCCCGCCACTATTCTCATAGGCCAGGGTGGTGCTAGCTACAGAAGGGGACTGTGGGTACATCCCTCAGCGAAGAGGAAGCTACTGAGGAAACTTGCTGCTTCAGACGTGGAGCTTTGAGCGGCCTGCACCTCCCAGAGGCTTAGTCCAAAAACTTCCTGTTGGCATTGGCACCAAATAAGGCTCCCCGCACTTTGGGCATCATCTGCTGGGCTATAAGGTCCAGCCGGCTTTCCAGGGTGTTGGACACCTTTATCTTGCGGTCCCCATTGTAGATCTCAACTCCACCAGCTACGTCCTCAGGCAGGTAGGCCTCCTGATCAATCTGGACATCAGCATCTTTTTTGGTGACAATCTTATACATCAGAATTGCGTTCTGCACTGCAGCCTTAACCAGAGGGAAGTCTTGCTTCCTGCAGCACACAAACATCCAGGGCTCCAACAGCTGGTACAGGCCCTGTAAGACCAGCCCATCCAGCAGCACTTGGTATCTGTTTGTATCCTTCACCACCTTGCTGAGTCTCTGTTTTGCCTCATTCAGCAGATCAGTGATAAGGTCGTCTCTAGCTCGGAGGACCTTCAGCCTTGCTTGATTCATCAAATTGGACATCTGAATTTTCTTTTGCTGCTCGATCTGCTTTTCTTTCTTCTCATAGTACTCCATAATCTTCAGTCTCTGGGTCTGCACAAGACGCCCTTTCTCAATGTTGAATTCTTCTTCGGCCTTTGCATCGATTTCTTCTGCTTTCTCATTGGCTTCTTGTTCAATAAAAGCCATCATGTGCTTCGTCTGCTTCTGAACGTCAGCATCGCTGAGGGCCATGGCAGAAGCGAGGCGAGGTCAGTCGGACAAACGACCGAATTCAAGAACGAAGGCCGGACAGGACGGGACGGGACAAGAGACGCAAACCCCAGTGCATTTCTTATCAAGCATTGTTGCCTCTTCCTTTGTTTTTCCCCTACCATCCTTTCTCTCCCCACCTCCACAACCACACTCCCTCCTCCCCCTGACATTTCCTTTTTCTTGGCCCATCTATAAAATATAAATAACCACTGCTTCCACGGCTGATGAGAATCAAGAGGCTTTGGGCTACTTGTGGGACACCCGTAATTGCTTCTAGAACATTGGATAGAAGTCTAATTCTGACTTAAGTAGGCATCCCGAATGAAATTCTCATCTGTGCTGGCCTCATCTGACAGAATGTTTTCGTGAGCTATTTTATGGTTACCAAATATGTATCAAGAGACAATCTAGTAAAACGTGTTTGTGATACTTTAAGTATCACTATTGCACAATACTGTGAAATATGTACAATTTATGTAATGACCTAATATCAATTTTTTTTAAAAAAAGAAGAAAAGTAAAATGAGAGAAGGGGTAGGTTAGGAGCCATGAGTAACAATGTTATCAGACACTTTGTATTGATATACTGCTTTGTAGAATGGGAACTTCCTTGTACAACCGCTTAAAGATAATACATTTTGTGTGAAAAGAAATGACCTAGGCCTATGTTTGGTGAGTCAGGAGATCAGAGCTGACCAAAGCCCTTTGACTCTGTGCAAAGTGAAAAGAGAAATCACAGACTGGGAGCTGATATTTGCAACAAGCATGCTATTTAAGGGTTACTGTTCAGAATATATATTTTAATTCCTGTACATTAATATGATCAAATACTGGTTAAAAATATTGACAGCTGGATATTGGTGGTTCACACCTGTAATCCTAGCTACTCAGGAGGCTGAGATCTGAGATCCCTGTTTGTCACTAGCCTGGACAAGAAAGTCCATGAAACTTTTATCTTCAATTAACCAGCAAAAAAAAGCCAGGCAGGCTGGGAAGGTAGCTCAGTGGTAGAGCGCTTGCCTTGCATGCATGAGGCCCTGGGTTCGATTCCTCAGCACCACATAAGCAAAAAGAAAAATGTCAGAAGTGGCGCTGTGGCTCAAGTGGTAGAGCGCTAGCCTTGAGCTGAAAAGCTGAGGGACAGTGCCCAGGCCCCACGACCGGACCCATAAAATAAAATAAAATAAAAAAAGCCGGGCATGAAGATGTGGCTCAAATGGTAGAGCATCAGCCTTGAGTGAAAAAGCCAAGTGAGAATGTAAGGCCCTGAGTTCAAGTCCTGGTATTAGCACGCATACATACACAAAAAGAATGTTAACATAAGACTCCCAGGAAAAGAATAATTTTGATAAGCAATAAACAGATATGTTCACCTCTCTTATAAACAGGAAGTGGAGGTGTGGCTCCAATGGTAGAGCACCAGCCTTGAGCAAGAAAGCTAAAGAATAGCGCCCAGGCCCTGAGTTCAAGCCTCATATAAGGGCATTCTCTCTCTCTCTCATACATGCGCGTGCCCGTGCACGCACACGCACACACACACACATACACACACACAGAATCTCTTTAAGTTTTCAAATGGTTGTTTTTACCTATGATATATTTTTTATGACTTTCCTCTGGGTTAGAACCTGAAATTTGTTCAGAGACCCTCTCTCCCTCCCCAACACACGCAGCCCTGAATCACAATTCATAGTGGGGAAATCGGCAGTAACACCGCGGTCCCTTCAGAGGGAAATGGATAAGTTGTAATATATTCCCACGATGGTGTCTCCAGAGCTGTTACATAAATGAAGAAGTGCTGTACCTGTCTTGCGGGCTGAATCTCAAATATATCACAGTTGGTGGGAGCAAGCAGAGGGCTGTGATCATTTCATACAGTTCCGTCTGGGTATGTTTACAAGCATGCAAAATAAGCAACATGCTGTTTATGGGTATGTCCGTGTGTAGTACACACAGCAGACCCCCCAAGTCAGAGAGAGACAGACAGACAGACAGTGAAGCTGGAAGTTCTGAATTTCTGTCTATCCAGGGGAGGAGGGTGAAATGGGCCTTGGGCAGATGAATAGAGATTGATATGTTAGAGACATGGGAAGAATTAGAACCTGGAGCTCCCTGGTATGCTGGGAGAAAAGAGGACCAGGCAGTCCAAGACTCCAAGCTGCTGAAGCATTAGAGTCAGACACATCTGGACAGCAGTGCCCACGAGAAGAGCAGGGTGGGTCTAACAGAGATGAATCTAATTCATCACGAACATTTAGAGGCACTGGGTTCCCAGAATCTGCAAGACAGGAGAGACAACCCGCCTGCCCCGAAAGCGCATGGCCTGTCTCCTCGCTAATACCTTCCCTCACCCACCCTCACCCCACAGAGAGGAGAGGTGACAAAGGCTTGCTCAGACACCAGCCTGCACATTTATCTGACCAGCTCCCAATAAATTCCTCATGCCAGAGGCCTGGCCATCCATCTTGGGGGGCAGGGCGGAGGCAGCGATGGGGTAGTGAGCAGAAGAGCTGTCTGTCTTCCATTGCTTGGGGACATGGCCACATGTCTTGCCGGGAGGCAAGCCCCTAAATCCTCCTCTGACTCGCTTCCCTCCTAGTAAATCTGAATAGTTTAAAATAACTCCTTCTGACCTTGAGGCTGGTGCCAACTTTCTGCCATCCATCAGCCCTGGCCGGCTTCCTTATTAAAGTTCTGCTGTTGCCTGGGAAAAAGTCGCCACCTTAAATCAAGGGGCCGAGAGGGCGATGGAGAGACAGAGGATCTGGAGACCGTGGGGCGACAGCAAGTCAGGAAGATGAGGTCCCAGCATGCTGCCTGGGTGAGCCAGCCGACCTTTGGGGGCTCGATCTGCAGCGCTGGCCCCCAGGGGTGGCGGGTAAGATGTAAAGCCCAGAGGCTGGATGCTCAAGGTGAGATTTTTTTTCCCCCCAGGTCAGGGTAGCCTCAGTACTGACAGCATCATTCATTTCGTTCAGTTACTCACCCTGGGGATTGCAGACTACTGATTATAAGCTTTGGTCATCAGCCTGCCTCCATCCCTTCCAATTTCCCTCTCTTCCTCCCTCCCTTCCCTTCCAATCCCCCTCCCTTCCTTCCTTCCTTCCTTCCTCTCTTCTCTCCACCCTCCCTCCCTCTCTCTTTCTCTTTCTCTCTCTTACTCTCTTCCTTTCTTTCTCCCTTTCTTCTTCCATCCCTCCCTCCCTCTCTCTTTCTTTCATTCCTTCTGCCTCTTTCTTTCTTTCTTTCTTTCTTTCTTCCTCCCTCCCTCCCTTCCTTCCTTCCTCCTTCCCTCCCTCTCTCCCTCCCTCACTTCGTTCTTCCTTCCTCCCTCCCTCTCTCTCTCCCTTCCTTTCTTCCTCCCTCCCTTCCTTCCTTCCTTCCTTCCTTTCTCCCTCCCTCCCTCCCTCCCTTTCTCTCTCTCTCTTTCTTGCTTTCTTTCTTTCTCTCTTTCTTGCTTTCTTCTACCCATCCTAGGGCTTGAACTCAGAGCCTGGGCACTGCTCAAGGCTAGTGCTCTACCACTTGAGCTACATCTCTCTCTCTTCTTGGGTTTTTTCTTTTTCTTTTGGTAGCTAATTGTTGAGAAGAGTCTCATGGACTTTCCTGCCCCAGGCTGGCTTTGAATGGTGATCCTCAGATCTCAGACTCCTGAGTAGCAAGGATTACAGGGGTGAGCGACTCAGATACCACTGGAGTTGGGAAAGAGAAGGTAGTGCTCAGACAGTGCTCCCGATTGGTCAGAAAAGTAGGCAATTATCAAGCATGCTAAGAAACACCATCCTGTCAGTGATGTAAGTGCTGGGAGCAGACTAGACTGACAGTGGCAGCGTAGAGTAAATGACATGGGCCTGGGGACCTTCCCTCTCCTCCCCTCCCTTCCTCTTCCCTCCTCACCTCCTCCCTCCTCTCCACCCTTTCTCCTTCCCTTCTCTCCCTCCTTTCCCCTTCCTTCTTCCCCCTCCTCCTGTCTCCTCCCTTCCCCTCTCCCCTCCTCTCCCTTCCCCTCTACCCTCCCCTCCTCTCCTTTCCTCTTCTCTCCCCTCATTTGAATCCACACCAGGGCGGCCAACATTCATTTTCCCCACGTTTTTTATTTCACAGAACAAAATTAGGTTTGTGTGGGGGTGGGGGTGGGGGTGGGGTAGGGAGTGGGTTGTTGTTAAGCCAGACTCTGAGGATTTAGAGATGAATAACCCAAGGTCAAGTTCCCACCTCCAGTGTGCATTCACAGGATAGGTGTGACCCAGGATCATGTTGGAAATGCAGGGAAGACATAGATCAGGCTCCCCAGTGTGGACCATCCAGAAGGATCCACGCTGGGTCCCATGGTGGTCATGTATTTGGGCAGATACTAGTCCTGGGAGAGTGTGTGGAGTGTTCATTACCGGTAAGCTGGGCCATTTCTTGGAGTAAAAGAGTGAAGATGACGAATGTTACTTCAGCAGCCGTACAGGGCAGGGAGAGATGTGGAGCAGGAAACAGCTTTCTGTTAATACCTGTAATCCTAGCTCTTCAGGAGGCTGCGATCTGAGGATCATGATGTGAAGCCAGCCCGGGCAGACACATTTGGCAGACTCTTATCTCCAAATAACAAGCAAAAAGCCAGAAAGGGAGCTGTGACTCAAGTGGTAGAGCACCAATCTTGAGTGAAAAAGCCACATGTGAATGGTGGGGTAGGTCCTGAGTTCAAGTCCCAGCACACACATACCAAGAGGCTTCTTCTGTCTCCTGAACTGTGTGTCTCTCTGCTCTGGGTCTCAGCTTGCAGAGGAAGCAGGGTCCTCGGGTGTACAGGTGACAGGAGTGACAGATCCCTGATGCCACTCAGGCTGTCTTCCAGGGAGGACATACACTGGCGTAGACCTGAAAAGAGCAGACTTCCTCCATGAGTCAATACAATTTGCTTAGCAAATCAAGATTAGCAGGGCTGACTTCTCTGGGCTTGCCCTCAGCTTGAAACATCTCTTGATGTCAATCGCAGCCAGCAGGGCCAGAGAATGATGAAGAAATGCAGTGACGTTGCATGCTTTGGGAGCTGGGTACCTGTTGTGTTCCTG